TTCAATATCACTCCCACTGTGCTACTGGAAAATCACCAAGGCCAAGTGAGCTGAGCTTTCAATGTCACATCCAGATCAGTTTCCAGGTATATTTTGGTTTTTCCATCTGAATTTACATGACCAAATCGTAAGGCAAATTATTCAATAACTGCATGAATTAAATGCAAAGTTTTATTTTATTTTATTTTTTTTTGTTAAAGCTCCCCTCAAATTAACAGAAAATGTGTTTTATGATCTACACATATTACTATATGCTTATAATTTACTGCTGAAAGCCAAAAATCTTAGACGCTCTTTGTATTATTTTATAAAAATAATTTTTACAGGGCAGATCACTGAAGAGATGCCATCTGTTTATAGCCCAGATTTGTGGAAAAATGGGTCGACTTCAGTAGACAAAACAAATTGTGAGTTCACCTTCTTTTATTATAAAGTTGGAAATTTACATTACCCATCTATTTGACTGGAAAGAAGACAGTTACAGCTCTCATACGACACCCTCCTTTTAAATGTAGCTTATTAAACATGAAAGTTATGAAGAATATGACGAAGTGCGTTTTGGAACCACCGGTGGTCTCAAGGAGTTGAAAAGGTTAAACCTATTAACGCGTAATTCCACCAATTTCACATACTTCAAACGTTCATATGTAAACAAAGTCAGTCAGAGTTGTTTGATGTGAAATGGTTTGTTGTAGAGAAGCTTTCGAACTCTTTACAGTGCTGGTGATGGGAACCAGGGGTCACCATGTGTTTAACACAAATATAACCACTTTATTTACTATCCAAAACAACCAGGGACCATACACGTCTTCTGAGTTTTGTTTAAACAGTGGAAAATCCATTCTTTTGGAACGATTTTGCCTTACAACAGCCTGCATGTAGCTCTCGGCCTGATTGTGTGTGTTTTTATGTTTTAGACCATATATTTACTTAAGAATTATTATCAAGAAGAAGATCGGCAGACTTTCTGTGCTTTTAGAGGCATTAAGCTCTTCAGACGTCTGGTTCCTATCACCACCACTGTGAACGATTCTGACTCTGTAAATTTCTCTAGAATGAAGCATTTCACATCAGACCTTTCTAAATGACTGTGTTTACATTTTAACCAATTAATTATTAAGAATCTTTGAAAAATCAGTGGAATTGTACCTTAATACTAATTCACAATAACTACACTTGAAGGAGTCTAAACAATAAACCGTGACATACAGGTTTAAGTCAGATGGCATGACTTTAACTAGTCCTTCTTGACAGCAGTGAAAACTGCTCTCTCTTAAAAACATCCATATTAATAATAATATAACACACTATACTATAGTATATGTTATCATATATATGTATAATACTTCTAATAGAATCTATAATCTATAAACATCTCTATAACATCCATGTAGTCCTGTATTAGACTGACCTATAATGTTTGTGTGGTATCCTACAGCGACTGTCTGAAGACTCTTACAGGAATCCTGTAGAGGTTTCTGTATTATTACCGCAGTTCTGTTCCTATACGGTTTGCAAAGTGAAGTACATGAAGCTCACTAAGGCTAAAGTTACTCGTACACACAGCAAGCAGTCCAGCTAGACTTCATTCTGCCGCTCCACAGCAGCCAAGACCACTTGTTGACCGAAATCTTCTCCCCCTCAGTATGAAGCAAACCCAGCCCCCCTTACCGAGCCTCCGGAGCGGGTCCAGGGTCTTGGACTCGTAGGCTTTCGGCTCGCTCGGTTTCTTTTTTCTTCCCAACATGTCAGCGCTTCCTCCAGGAGCTCAGGGTCCTCTTTTCCGCTCTGAGTTTGTAGAGAAACGCTCCTCAATGTTGCTTCGACTCGACGGGTGTTTTCGGTATCATGAATCACGGCGCTGCTGCTCTGTCACCGCACTTGGAGTTTCTTCGTCCCACCCATTTTCAGACAGGCCCCGCCCCCTGCGCTACGATTGGCCAAAAGTTCAGAGCTATTATTAGTTTTACATAACAAAATATATTTGCGATAAAACAGTTTTGCTCTTAGATCAATTCCAAATACATAACAAATGAACCTAAACTTGGAATTTTTTAGTGAAACTGTTATACGACACCTTTTTCATTTTATAGGAAAAAAATATTAATATAAATATAATATTGATTTAAATTATAAATCAGACCTTTATAATATATATAAATTGTTTAAGAATGGATGGATGAAAAAAAGCAAAAAATATATATTTTTAAAATTACATTTAATTTAACTAAACATTTTTGTTTTTTTTCCTGTGTTACTTAAATCTTTAATTATAACGCTGATTATTGTATAGAGTTCGCGTGTACGTGCTTGTAACGCAGCCAAATAAATAAATAAATAAACAAATAATTAGAACTACTAGCGAATCCCGGCGCGGGAGGCGGGGCTTTCCGGAGTACGGGTGTGGATAAAACGCCCTGGCGACTTCAAGGAAAAGCGTGAGGGGAGTTTATAAAAAACGCACCGTAATCTGACTCCAGCGCCGAGCAGCGAGTCTCTGCCTGAATAATGTAAATCACTGCCGGCTCTGAGCTGCAGCTGTGGGCGTCTGCGCCTCAGTCCGAACGGACGAAACTCTATCTAAACTATCGTTTTATTTACCACCATAACTCAAACAAAAGCAGGAAAGACACAGACACTAACCTAACACACGCTCTTCAACCGAGAGCTGTGGACTGGTCAGAGGGCCACGGTGTCCAGAAAGGGCAGAAAACACATATAAAACGATCCAAAAATTCACGTTGATAATGCAAACCTCCCCGAACTGCATGAAATTGTTGCGAGAATCTGTACTGATTTACTCTGAGACGGTTAGACTTTTTAATGCAAAAAGGAGTAATTAATATAATTAATTATATATGTATTGTATAATTCTTGTGTTCTCTGTATTGTTTTCCTCTTTTATTGTTTTATTTAAACGTATAGTTACAATGCTGTACCTGTTTGTATAATTATTAACTGTAATATAATAATAATAATAGTTTTTACATTGTTTTGCCGCGAACGCCACCTCGAGGCGACGTGAAGAATCACACCCGTTCCACCGCAGAGATTTATTCCATTTTAAAATACATGTAAAAAGCTTTTATATTTACGTGTACAACAAAGGCATTCACTGCCTCAGTGGTATAGGTTCAAGGCTGCAGTTTGATTGGCCTGTTCTAATCCAATATACAACGTCCCAGTCCGTTCGTTTGCATCTATTCAGCACTCCTGTAATTCCTAAATGTGGACTGTAGCTGTGAAAGTGTTCTGAGTTCTGCAGCTAAACAGAAGTTTCAGACGCATGACTGAGTAAAGCTGGACAGCAGAGACTTACAGAGTTTGTGAATCAGTGTTATGTATATATGGCTGTACACCTCAACTGTACGCTGTATTAATGTGCCGAATTGCTGGGCAACTATGTTGCTTATACAAATTGTTTATGGCAATTATTATTAATAATAATTAAATTACTTATTGAATATTGGTATATATTACAAATACTTACAAAACAACATCCCTTAACTGTGCTAAGATCACTGTAACACTCTCAAGACAAGAATTGGTGGAAGGAAACTTTCTTCTGTTTATGGAATCTTCAACATCTGTTTATACCTCCAGCCACAAGCACAGGGAGCTATGAGGAGAAATGCTGGTGATGTGGCACAACAGGTTTTAACCCTTAACTCCACAAAGGCCCTTAACCCTTTTAACCCCACAGCAGCCATTAACTCCTTAAACTACACAGGGGCCCTGAACCCTTTAAACCCCACAGCAGCCATTAACTCTAAACTACACAGGGGCCCTTAACCCTCTAAACTACACAGGGGCCCTTTAACCCTATAAACCCTGTAGGAGCCCTTAACTCTCTAAACCTCACACTGCCCCTTAACCCTCTAGATACCACAAGGACCCTTAACACTGTAAAACCCTGTAGGAACCATTAACCCTTGACATCCCAAAGGGGCCCTTATCCCTGTAAATAGCACAGGGGCGCTTAGCACTGTAAAAACCTACAGGGCCCTTAACACTGTAAAACCCACCAGGAACCATTATCCCTGTAAACAGCACAGGGGCCTTTTACACTGTACAACCCTACAGGGACCCTTAACCCTCTAAATCCCAAAGGGGCCCTTAATCCTATAAAACCCACAGGGGTCTGTAATGCTGTAAATCCCACAGGGGTCCTTAACCCTCTAAATACCACAGCAGCCCTTAACCTTTAAATAGTACAGGGGCACATTTTCTCAAAACATTCTGACTTTGTTCTTGAAATATTACATCTTCATCCTCAAAATAATTATGAGTTTACTATAAAAATATTGTTTTTAATCTTAAAATGTAGACTTTATTCTCAAAATATGACTTTATAAATGACTTATTAGCACTTTTTCCTCATGTTTTTATTCTAGAAAATTAAGACTTTATTCTTTCTTGCTCTAAATATTAAGACTTCATGCTTGTAAAATCAGATCATAAAAAAATCAGTCTTAATATATTACTATTATTCATGTATTTCTAATTGTATTATTAATTGCAATATTGCAATTACAAAATATCTATTATTTAAAATACTGTCATACACACACACACACACACACACACGCACACACACACACACACGCACACACACACACACACTTCATCAGCAGCAGTAATTTATCAGCTTTCAAAACATCAACAAACCAAGCTGCACCATGGAGCACTGAAATGCCCAGCAATAAGGAATTTATTATAGCATGTGACAGACTGTTTATCAGACACTGTTTTGCAGGTTAAATTTCTTCTTTTTGCATTGAGGTGTACAGATTTCTGCATAGTACTTGTAAGTCACAGAGAAAGGCCATTTATGAGGAAGAAAAGAACAGTCTACTGGAGTTTAGTTCTGTTTGCTTTGTTTAAAACAGGTACACTCCAAGAATTCCAAATAAAAGTACTTATTATATTCATACAAAATATATATTTTATAATATACTGTATACAAAACAAACGAACAAAAAAACATTAAGGAAAACACATTTCAAGTAACATCTTGAAAGAAATGACTGTGCACTGAAGTGCACTTTTGTAAACCATATAAAAACTAAAAAAAAAAGAAAGTAAAAACAAATATGATATTATATGTATATTTACAAGGTTAACTTAGCAAGGCTTTGTACAAATGTTACAAAATATTTCAATGCACATACACATTTTACACAGACAATTTCACACAGACGAAGAAATGATTAGGCCGAGCGGCGGCGCTCGGTGTACGTGTGTTGTGAACGCACCACAATTTGTCTTGTGGTTTCTCGAAGTAACAGGAAGGGACAAGAGCGAAGTTCCGCATGGGGTCTGCGGTAAAAGGTCAATGGTCTTTAGCTTCAACACTTTTTCCTCTTGGCGAACAGTCTCTCAATAATACTGTACAGTACTCTGATTAAAGGAGAATCCTCTAGATTTCTATAAATTTCTCCATAGTTCAGTGAAGATGTAAACACAGTCGTCCAGGTTGGTTTAATGCTCTGTTCTAGAGAAGCTTACCAACTCCGAATTGTTCACAGTGGTGGTGATGGAAACCAGCCTTTAAAAGCTCCCTCACAAAAAGTTCTTACATGAAGAGGTTAAGAATTTGCTGCCTGATACATTGTTTCCAATAGTTTTGAGAAGTTCTGGCCTTTTTTTTTTTTGGCAGAGAGGTACATGCAGGGAGTTGCAAGGCAAAATAGTCCACAAAGAGAATCTATTTTGTTATAATCAATAAATTTTACATATATATAAAAACACTCAAAGATCATGTTGGGTCACTGGTCGTTTTGGATAGTAAATAATATGGCTATTTTATAGACATCGTGACTTCTGGTTCCCATCACCACCAGTGTTAAAAACTGTACATTTCTCAACAATTAACCATTTCACATTCAAACCACACTAAATGACTGTTCTCAACTGAATCATACAGAAACTTTGAAAAATGGGTGGAATTCCCCTTTAAATGTACTACATGTGTGTTTAAAGAATGTGTTTAAAGAATGTGTAAAGATTTGTGTGTGTGTGTGTGTGTGTGTGTGTGTGTGTGTGTACCCTCATTAGTTGTCTCAAGCTCACTGTGGCAGCCCAGGACATATGACCAGGCAGCATCGTCATGGAGATGCAAAAAAAGTGTCCCAATTCCCAAGCTTGGCCCAGAATTCCAATCTGGGAAGCTGAATTTGCCCTCCACTGCATACAGTAAGAGAACAAACATGATTTCTCTGTGTCACTACAGCTAAAGGGAGCACACGAGAAGCACCAAAGCACTCAAGAATCCCGATGGCGAGCGCATGGCAAGGGCGTTGGCAGTTCCGGAAAGCAAAACATATCGACCTGTTTGTTACTGGCCCCTTCGGAACACTGCGTTAAAAGAGCGCTAAAAAGAGTGAAGGAAAACTTTGGCAACACTAAAAACAACCCCTGTGCCAAGCAAGCAGAGCAACTGTGAAAGGAACATAAAGAAGAAGAGGCTCAGACCTCTTTCCCCCAAGACATCTGATGCTGGAAAAACTGCAGTTACGAAGCTCCAACGCGACTCTCTCCTCGTGTTGTACAGTAAAAAATGGCTGCAGGCACCACTCCCACATCCTCTTCACTCACACGCAAAAGTGACACCACAGATATGAACTATATGGCAAATAATTATGGCAATGTTGGTACTTTGTTAGGTAGCTAGCATAGCTAGCACTAATCATGTGCATATTTAGAACTGTTCAGAAGCTGCGATGCTCACAACAAAACAGGTCAAAATAGAACAGAGTAGTCACGATAAGAGGCATCTCAATAAGTCACCAAATATTAATATAATAAATATTAATCTAGCATTAGCTATCGTTACCGACAGCCAAATGGCCTTAAGTTAGCTAGCTGTTAGTCACAAATGTTCATTTTATCAGGGTTGCCAACTTTGGTGAGGTGACTAGAGAGATTTTGAGGTGGCTGTATTGAGACTGGAGTGAGATTTACGAGTGGCTGGAGTGAGATTGGAGTGATAATTTCAGGTTGCTGGAGTGGGATGACGTGTCTTTTAAATTTTGTCCTCTTTGTAAATGAACATTGCCTTGTACTTTCCAGTTAGTACAGATGTGTATGTGTTTTAGAGAGTAACTTGGATGTAGTGTGTTGAGTATTGAGAGAATTTGTAAAGGAACGTTTATGTTTTGTTTGAACGTAATGTTTTTTGAGTAACTGCCCCAACACTGTTGGTTGCAGATACTGGGGAGATGATATTAAACCAAACAGAAACTTGAACTTGAAGGCATCAGTAGCTGAGCTGAGCAAATGTTACAGTCAAATGTTACAGAGAGCCCTGATGCTCTAGCTTTCTAAAGCCGCTCCTCTGTCAGAGGCCCAATCCCATTTCACCCCTTGCCCCTACCCCTTAGCCCTCCCTTTTGCGTGTTCACGCTTAGGGGTAGGGTGTCCCAATTTTTGTTGAAATAGAGTGGTCGAGTAAAGTGTTAGGGCTACATGGCCCTCCAAACAGAGGTTTTTCAAAGGCACACTCCAAACCAAGTGTTATGACAAAAAAGAAAAACCGGCAAGATGGCTGCGCGCAAACGACCAAAAAAACCCACAAATGCATTTTTTGTGCTGTCTGCTATCCGGTGTTGACGATGGGTTCCTCTTTTGAGTCTTGGTTCCTGTCAAGGTTTCTTCCTCTTGCTCTCAGGGAGTTTTTCCTTGCCACTGTCGCCATTGTTGACGCTCATGGGGGCTCGGACCCGGATTTTTCTGTAAAGCTGCTTTGTGACAACACCAAATAAACTTTGATTTGACTTGAAAAATTACGACGACCACTGTATTATCTTAGTTTAATGTTGTTTCATTATATTATGGTTCTTTTTTCATAACAAGCATAAAAATCGCTATTAGTATGCTGATGTGTCAGTAGCTAGCTAGCTAAATTTCCCATTCCACCATAAATGGTGCAGCAGTTACATTCTGGTACCATTTAAGGCAAAAATTTGAACAACAAGCTGGTGAATAGTTTACTTCAACTTCATATCACTGAAGAATTAGGGGTGGGCGATAATAAATAATTGTCTCATCCCCACTGCTATCACTGCAGACTGACAGGGTCACCTACAGAGCACTGCTAATGGCCTGAAGTAATGCTAATGGCCTAAAGTATTTGAGGGTTGTCCCATTTCGTAGGGGAAGATTTCAACCACTACCACTTGTAACTCAGATCCAAGGGGCAAGGTGACACTTGAAAACAAAGGGTAGGGGTAGAAATAGAAATAGGTTTGGGCCTAAGTCTTCTCAAAGGGCTATCCTGCAGAAAGAACAAAACAGTGGCTTGCAAGTTTGTTAAATGTCGCTTGGCCATTCACTGGTATGAAAATTCTTGGCATGACATGACAGCTTAAGAAACGACCTAAAACTGTGAGAGCTGGCATCCCTGATTTAACTCTAAGAAGTGACTTATTGATGATAATCCAAACAACCAGAAAGCTGTGAGATCAATTCTATGCACATGTTAAACCAAAACAGCCTTGAGAGTGGTGCTAGTGAGCTGTGGGAATGGCAGCTGCAGCCATGTACTGTATTATTGGGCACTGTCTTTGTTGTCACAGGCATTCGGGAAAACGGGAGGTAGGCGGAGCCTGGCGTGTAGAGTGGGCGTCAGCCTCTGAGTGCTGGGGGAGGGACTGTGCTCCAGCACGCCCGATCAGCACAGATGGTTTTGGGGGCGGTGCAGGAGGCTTGTTGTTGTTGTTGCTGGTGGAAACAGCGGAATTGAGGGGCAAGGCTTTGGTGGAGGCGCTGGTGGGCGAGGCCACCACGGTGTGCCTCCTCCAGGCCCGCCTCTTCCTACGCGTTTCAGGTGAGAGAGGCTTCCTCACACCTGCAGCCCGCAAGTCCTCGGCCGAACCCAGCAAGCGGGCTCTCACCTGCTCAGCCAGGGTGGCCCCACTAGGGGGGAAGGGACGCCCTTCACTGTGACCAGAGGGGGCTGGGGTACTTTCCTGACCGCCATCTGGGTTCAGTTCGGTTCTTGAAGATGGAGAGGGGCAAGGGGAAGAGGAGGAGTTAGCAATTTGGGTCTTTGTTTGTCCAACACTGGGCCGCTGTTCATCCTCTGTGGCTGAAGTGCTGGACAGTTCCAGAAGGTCCAGGGAACGAGCTTTAACCTTCTCTGACTTTAGCCTGCGGCGTGCTAAAGTGTCACACTGAATGAGGCGATGGGAGTTGAAGGAGGGCCGGCTGTGGAGGCGCTGGGAGGCGGAGGATGAGTAAGAAGAAACTGAGGGGGTGGTTGAACGTGCTACTCCTTCACTGACCCTTTCTGTGGGGTCAGGAGTGGGGCTTTTGGGGTTTGTGGGAGCAGGAACGTGTTCAGGAGCAGGATTTGATGTGGAGGATTTGTAGTGCGTGTAGAGGAAACTGCGAGGGGCAGCTGGTCCTGGTGAAGTGTGTGAAGTGTTTGTACGCTGGGGGGATGCAGGGGTGGGCGTGTGCTTTTCAGGACGCTCCTGGGTGAGGGAGCGCGAGGCGAAGCCACTTTCGTTATCCGTTTCGCTCACCAGTTCGCTCTGTTCGTCATCTGCGTCCTCGCCCCGCCCCTCTGATGCTAAGCTCCGCCCCAGTGTGGAAAGGGTGGAGTAACCCGAGACAATGGAGCGTGCGTCTTCTCCTCGCCAACCGCCTGACCTTTTGACCTCTGTCCTCTGGTCCTCTTCCTCGCTCAGGAGCACCGATTGGGCCTCCTCGCTGCAAGGCATGCTGGGAGTGGCCTCATCTTTCTGAACACATTCTGTGTCTCTTTCGCCTTCATCCTCTTCTTCATCCTCTTCCTCGTCTTCGTCCTCCTCCGCCTCTGCACATGGGGCAGTATCAGACTGAACTGGCCCCGCCTCCTGCTCCTCCCCCTCCCCTGTGAGGCCAGCTCTGATTGCCTCTTGCTCAGAATCGTCATCAGTGCTGCTGCCCAGGAGGTTGGCGACAGGCCGTTTTCTGCGCTTGCGCGCCACAGCAGACATGATGGACAGTGTGGTCAGAAAGTCCTTGGCTGAGAGGTCACGTTTTGACCCCCCTGACCCCTGAAAAACAATAGAGGTCATTTTAGGATGCCATGACAAACAAAACAAAGTTATGATAAATGATGTCGAGTTGCTACAGTTACACAGTGGTTGATCCTTAAGGATCCTTAATAATTGAAATCTGAACATGTGATCACTGGCTATAGATTGATGGTCAGTGGCCATGTTTCTCTAACTACATTCGTCCCTGCTTGGCAGTCAACCTCAGGACTCCTTTCGCCATAACCAAACAAGGCACTGGGTGTGCCTATCAGAGGTATCTTAAGCTAAGCTAATGAGCATCTAACTGCAGTCTTTTGAAAGACTTCAATACATTCAGCTTGAGACTGTCAAAGTTTTCTTCAAGGAGAGTGTTGAATTAGTACAAATCCTTTCTGAGGACTGCAACAAGAAGGCCTCTGATAAATGGTATCAGTGTGAAGAGACATATTACCATGAGCAAAACAAAAAAGCCTGTTGTCACGAATGTCACGAGTCCTGGCGAGGAAATAGACTTGATCTCCCAGAATCCTCTGGGAGATCACATGACTTCAAAGCTTCCTCAGTTACACACACGGACTCGATCTCCCAGAATCCACAGGCAGATCAGCTGACTCCCGAACTCTCCTCATGCTCCTATCAGCGTTCTGGATCGCCAGAATACTAATGTGTAACACCTGTGTGTTTGCTTATAAGCCCCGGGCTTTAACCACAGTCAATTGCGAGGTATAGTTTCGATTACGAACTACTCAGCGTTATGTCTGTTATATATATTCTGTGAATGACCTGTATTTTTCGTTTCTCTGACTCTGTTTTTGCCCTGCCCTTTGGATTGTTTGCTCTGGATCTCTGCTTATTGTGTTTTGACCTTTTTGCCTGTTTCTTGACGACGACCTTGGATTCTGATTTAAACATTAAAGCCTACTTTTGGTTCTTTAGCTGCCAGAGCCAGTCAGTACAGTCCATATATGAAAACCATGCTGCAAAAGAGCCTGTTTTGAATTCAATGTTTCTGCTATGTCAGTGGGGAGCCAATCAGAACAGAGCTCATTTATCTGATATTGGCCTTAAAGGTACAGCAACAACCTGTTTCATTCTAAAGGATAAAGACAGGCTGAAATTGGTCATGTAAAAATGTATCATGACTATTTTGGTACATAAAACAACACAAAAAATACAGTAAAGCAAACATAAAGCCTGTTAGACAATATGAAGTTAATTAATGTCTTCTGTGCTTGAAACTTGAGACTGCAGACTTGGTCAGTTCTTACCTTTGATTTCGCTGAATCACTGTTGGTTGAGTCTGCAAAGTAAGTAAGAAACAGAAGAAGAAGGGAGAGGGAGAGAGAGGGAGGGAGAGATGAATTTCATGGTACAGGGCCATGTTCTTGAGAAATGAGAGGCACAGAGGAGAGGCGTGTGACACAGGCCGTTTTGCAGTATAAAGACTGGCCTCTAAATCTACAGTCCCATCATCTTTCTTGCCTCTGTGCCTGTCATTCAGCATGAAGCATTCCATCAGGAGACGATGTTCACACAAGATCATCGTCTGACGAATGATAATTGATTGTCTTTAAATGGTGCTCAAATGTGAACAGGGTCTTCAAAGGAAGCCAAGCGGTCCGAATCTGCAGCATTAAGGAAGAACCGCACACACTGATGACATCACACCACATACTGATGACATCGACCCGTGTAAGAAGCCGTGTAAGAAGCAGGAGGGAGGACGATTTCAGAGACACAGAAAAACAGGCCATGTACACATACATGACTCATTTACAGTGAGGGGAAACTTTGTACTTATAAATATGAACAAAAAAGCATGTATTCATAAGCATAAACAAAGATATTTTTAAACAGATATGTTTAAAAAACAAAATGAATAGGCAAAGGGTATTTAGGTACTATATTAAATTATATATACGGGTAAATGTTACATAAAATAAATAAAAAAAAGTTCTATTACAATCCCTGGTCAAGGTTACTTTACTGTGTGTCTGTGGCCATTTTGTGGGTTTTCTCCTCTTGTTGCATTGAGTGCAGGGCCGTGATTAGCCGCACAGAAAAATTCTGTTATGACCCAGTTTAGGGTCAGGCTATAACAGAGAATGAGAGTGGGCTCTCCCCCCAGACCTGCCGCCAAACACAACACTGGATCATTACAGAGTTGGGGGGTGGAGCCGAGGAGGCCTTGATTCTTAAAAGGTCATAACCAGAAATTTACTAGAGCATGGACTGGAGTATGGACTGGAGTGAGAGGTGATGAGTTGAAAACATGGCCTGAATCATTGAATGAGGCTACAAATGGGAAGACAGAACAGAGTCACAGACAATACAGCAACAAAATAATGAAGCGGAGCATAACACCCTCTCTTATACGTGTGAGAGGTCCCAGGTTAATATCCTGGATGAGCCCCCAATTCTGTTACGATCCAGTGTTTAGTCTGGCTACTTTCTAAAACAGAAGGTGAAGGTGCTTGCATGGATTTTGAATCTGCAAGTCCAACGTAGGGACCCTCGAGACCTTGGGGAGACGCAGACTGCCTGCCCATGAAAAAAGCAATTACTTCTTACTGAAGATGTATCTAAACTGTAACAGCCAACAACAGCTTTGCAACACAGTACTAATGTTATTAATGTGTGGTGTCTTAAAACGTTTCTAAATTTTGTTGTTTAAACATGCCGTTGTTTATGCTTATGAATGCCTACTTTTTTTCATATTTCTATGTACAAAGTCAAAAGATATTGTGTGTACATTTCAAGTGGATATACGTACTGTATACGAGTATATTAACTAACAAAATCAAAAGTGTCTGACTACTTGTTTCCCCTCACTGCACTCAAACCCCACAGCCACAGACATTTGCCCATCCATTCAAATACTGTATATAGACATTCTCCCTCTCTCTCACTCACACACACTCACACACACACAGGGTATGGCAGGCGAAACCCATCCTACCGCAGTGGCTGCTCCACAGGCTCAGCTAAGAGAGGGACGCAGAAATGTACAGAGAGAGAAAGTGGAAAAATGAATACAAAAAAAGAGAAGAAAAAGGCAAACAAAACAAAAACAGAAAAGTGAAGAGCACTCAACATGCAGGGAAACTGTGTATTTCAGGGGTGTGTATTTTTCTACATGTCTTATGAAACAAGATATGCTTTCTACTGTTATTCTGTCTATCCATGACTTGCCCGTGAATGCAGTCATCCGGCTTCTGCTACCTAGCTAAGTTAACATTGTAGCCTTCACTGGTAGCTACTTTAGCGTACTGTATCATTACTTTAGGGAAGGTTTTCCCAACCTTTTCTGTCCAGTGATTCCCTTCAACCAAACTGATTTGCCTTAAGTACCCCTTGATGTTAGGTGGGCTGATGTGAGATGAAATCATTTTTTCGAATAAAATTTGTTTGCGGCCTGGTTTGCATCTTTAATAACTCTAAACATCTCAAGAAAACTGGCTTCATTCTTGGGAAAAAAAGGTGCTCCAAACTTATCATACACATTTTAGCAATGAAGAATGATTTAGCTAGCTAGCTATTCACTATAATCTACAGTAAAATGTCTCTTTTATTACTATTATTATTATTATGATGTGATCCATTCCGTAATTATTGAACGGATCATTACAGCAAACACACGGTTGTGAAATCCCACACTAAGGAAATTTCCTGTTAATGTTCTTCCTGTGCTACTCACCACTTCTAAATCAGGTCAAAAAAACTGCCATTGACAGAGGGAGACAAATAGAGGCCTAGCTAACTAGATAGCTAGTTAATGTTGACAGCTGAGGGTAGTACATTTTCTGCTTAGCTTGCCAATCAGATGTTTGTCCCTAAAATCTTCTCATACAAAATAAATGCAGTTTACAGTTCATACATTCAAAATATATGTATAAATTTTGACAAAAAGCTGAGTTTGTCATTAGGTTAAATGGAATTTTTGCTGGCTTTCTGTAAATCAGTTGTGAGAAAAGAAAGCGGTCATGGGAGGACAGGTCAACTATGCTGCTGTCGCTTCATCTCAGGCTTACAATCCTACGACTGGGGATGCTTATTCAAGTGCCCCATTCATGAAAAATCAGAGAACTAGGCTGAAACAAGTTTGTGATTTGTATTGCTTTGAGGTGTGAGTTGTACTGTAAGATCGGTCAGTGGAGATTGGGCTGGGCGGTCTCTCACCTGAGGCATCTCCTAGAAGGCAAGTTCGGCCAATGTTAGATAAGAGGTGGTCTATGTTAGGGGCAGGTTGAACATCTTCTGTGTCCACTGGCGTCTGAGGGAAAGGAGAACAGAAGGGAAATGCTTCAGTATACATGAGCTGCAAACTGAATCAGTTTTTTCCAAGACTGATTAAAAATTAGATTTAACTTACTTTTTCATCCTTGTCATGTTCCTCACTGAAGAACCAGGCATACTGTACAAAAAACAGAGTGACAGCAAGAGCATACGAGTTTAAAATCAGGAGATTTGATGTAAATACTAGCCAACTGCATGCTATCTAAATAGGTTTTGGTGTTCATTATTATATTATTATATTATTATTATAACTTCATTCTCGATTACATCCTCATTCTCAATGTCATACAGCTTTATCAGTGATTTTAGTATCATTTCCAGCTCTGTTCATCATTCTGGACACCTGTAATATTTATTCCAAGTTATTTTTATGCAATCTGTGAAGTTGTAGAGTAGTAGCATCAAATCAGAATCATTAACTACAACATTTTATATTATATATTTACATTTATATTATAAAAATGATTGATTCCAAACTTTTGGAAAGTACTCTATGTAGTTTTTAAGGCTTACATGCTGGATGAGAGTCTCGACAATCTTGTAGCGGTCAGGCATGTGGGTGACCATGTCCGTCATGTTGTCCTCTGATGTTCGTACAAGAGTGGGACCAAACACCAGCGCCAGGTTACGTGGCTCCATCTACATACAAATTTGTGGTTCAAAATCAACAACCCAAAATGACTCAAGGCTCAGAGAATTTTGTCAAATCCACTTCAAATCTTAAAGTGAAAGTTTGGCAAAACCTAACACATAATGGAAGCTAATGCTCCACCAGTTAGCTCTATGCAATCTGCAGCCTAAATCATTAAACGCTTGACTCAAACCACCATGAGTTGTCACGAAATTTCAAACTGACTTTCTATACTGTTTTCTGCAAAATGGACAAAATATACACAAGATTCAGTCTTCAAGATGGTTGCTGCTGCTGTTTTTAGCTATATAACAGACATTTTTATGAGTAACATACAAGCTTTCATTACTTTGTAGCTAAATTAGCCTTGTAGAACCAGTGCAAAACTAAAGAAGCACATTAATTAAATATTATATAAACATAAAGCTTCACCTAAGACCAACTCTCACCCACTCCAGATTAAAAGGAAACACACATGTATGCAGATGCATATATACATATATAGATGCAATATATACATAAATCAATACATAATCTAAAGACATCTTTTGCTGACCTTGTTCTTCTCAGAGTGGTCTGCTACTGTCTTCAGGTGACCAATCAGAAACTTCAAAGTGTGAAAATAGTGATCTGGCAAATCGTGAATCTGCAGAGAAAGAGGCCAAAGTAAGGATTTTAATGATTGATTGATTAAGTGACAAAACAAACGTTGGACCAGTGATTATGGTTAAAAAGTTAATTTAACTTCTGACTACATTTGATATTTGAACAGGTGGGTTTTTCATTCAATAAAGCTTGTTGCAGTAGCCCTACTTGGTGATGCACAACTCTAGGTTTTCTGGAGTCAACTGCAACTCTCGAGAAGTGTTGCCAGGTTAGGCACGCTCCTGCCAAATTGGGCAAAATTTGGTTGCTTTTGGCAGGAGAAAGTGCTTTTGGGGGTGGACACAATTTGGGATGCTTTGTCATTATTTTTGCCCCACCCATCTGTATAGTTCACAGTCAATATCAGTGGTTAACACGTCCAGCTTATTATTGACATAATGTGGTGCGTTCAGTCCAAACACAAAAATGTTATCCAGTTCACACTTAATTACTGACTTACATAGTTGTACTACAGTAGGAGAGTGGAATTGCCTGTGATCTGTTCAGCAGAGCCCATAAAGGTAAGCAAGCTTTAAAAATGTGTATGTGGAATGGTTATACTTGCAATATCATTGCAACTCATTAATCTTTCTGCCTGAATGGAATCATAGATTCCATTGTATACAATGCATTTTAAAAAATGATAATACGGTGAAAACATTGAAATTTGATATTTAATAATTAGTTAATAAGACGTTGACAAAGAGAAATAGCAGCACTTAAACCATCCAAATGCAGTTCACAGCACTATTGCAACAATGATTTTTAGCCACATGACACAGTGCTAAAGGTCTTTTTTAAGCATCATGTTGTTTCTGTTGAGCGTAGCCTTAAGCTACAGCCTATAAATGTGTTTGTTAGCTAAAGGTTAGCCCGTGCAGTTAACCCATAACAAAAAAGCTTAAAAGTAGCAAATTACTGAGTTTATGTTGGTTGTTGTTTAAACCCTGCACATGAACTTGCCCTGGTTAGGCCATATATGTTGGATAATTTGGGCTAATAATATGTAGTAAATGTATATAGACAACATTACATTACTGTCATATCTGTTCCATTATGCTGTGTTTTACATAAAATGCACTACTTTGATGTTTTAATGGGTCGTGCTTGTGATTTTAGGTTTGTTGGTTAATGACTAATCACCGAATGATAACGATGGGTTATTGGTCAAAAGAATTTGCCAAAATTTGCATCTCTAGGTTAGAAGGTTAAGAAATGTAACAGGCAGAAAGGAAGCAGTGTAGGCGAGTGTCAGTGAAGGCATTAATAAAGAAGCCACAGTCATACCAGTTTCTTCAGGGTCTTCAGTCTGTCACTTGCATTCTCCATACGGTTGGCCTCAATGAAGTCATTGTATTTGTCTGAAAAAGAGAGAAAAGAAGAGAAAATGATGCACTAGCAACCAGTGGGGAAAAACCACAGTGCAGATTACCCAAAAGCCTTGACACAGCAGCTTTCGTAACAATCTTCATAGACATAACGGACAAAGAATTTCCTCAGATATAATGGACAGTAATAAAGTGTTTTCTAAATGTCAGATACAGTTTACTACTAACTGGTCCTTTATTAGTTTAGCAGCTGCTGCTGTAATGAAGCTCTAATCAGATCCACCTGAGTCACCTAGAAATGAGTCAATGTAAGGGACTGTTATTAACAAAGAAGAAGGCGTTTCCCAATGAAAATGAACATTTTAGAAACAGTTTGATTAAACTAGAGGCAAATTATAAAATAATTAAAATAAACCAACTAAAGCTAAATTGATAATTGACTGAAAAGCTTTGAACTTCACTGCGTGCTTTCATACTTTGGGCTTGTAGTGTCGGCTCTTCACAAAGGTAAAGTTCAACCGAGAAAAAGTAACTAAGCTCAGTAGATATTTAGGCGTTGATATTGATTCCAAACTTCTCACCGTCAGTGAAAAGGGGTTCAGGGAGTTTGCGGAAGAAAGACTTGAGCAGACTGCTCACCACGTTCAGATCCTGCCACCGCTGGAGCAGAAAGAAGACAAGAAACATTATTGCCTGATGCAACCGAAAAATAAACAGTGCAAACAGATGAGCAGTCTAATTCAGAACTGACTACTGAGCACTGAAGAAACACTGCTGACTATAGGCTAAATTCATCACTTGTACTTTTAGTTTATATTCATGAGTGTACGCTGATATATAGTCCCAATGTATTCAAAAGCTTGCAACAACACAATGGCAATGTGTCATATATTGACACCAGGTAGTTTCAGAAGTCATACATTTGCAACAGTATACTGCAGATAAACGACCACTAAACTGTGTAATATAACTAGATAATTAAATGCATTTATTTGTTTATTCATTTTCACTTCACTTCTTATGAATAACTATAGGGTTGTGGATACATTTGCATTGATATTTTAAGTTTTAAGCCGGACCTGATTGTTTCAAACCATGAAAACATGACAAGATGGCAAGTTTACTCAGACTAAACAACTTTAACATGAAAGCATTACTTTATGAATATATTTGTTAAAGTGGAGTTTTCACAGTAGCCATAAAATGCAATTTCAACTGATTGTAGAAGATATAAAATATTTTAATTAAACTTCAATTACACTTTGAATAAAATGGTTTTATTTGATTATATTAACACAAATATTGGAGTTGAACCTTCATTTTGGACAGCTGATTTTTTAATGTTATTTTATGTACATATTTTTATTTGACTTAGTCATGATCTAATGATAGCTAAACTAACTAAATTAACTGGCATCATCATTAAAAAATCAGGTTTTATTTGGCACCTTGTGTGATGAAGAGCTGTTCAGGGTCCGTTTCTGTCAGAATTTTGTCAGGCTTGGGTAAGTTTTGGATTTATCAGGTTGTGTTCGGGTTCGGACCAAAATTGAAGCCCAATTTAAGCTCTAGTGTTTCTGTATCTCACCTCCTCTGCAGTGTTGATGTCACTGCCCTTGTTGAGCTGCTCTTGTAAGCTGGACACTACAGCGTTGTTTCCTGGCACTCTGTAAATGCCTGTGTACTCCAGGCCCATCTCCTCCACCAGCCCACAGCAGATCTCCACAATCAGGGGAATGAACTACACACACAAACACAAACAGTACAGGTAAGGCTTGGCTCTCCAAAGGGCCACTCTGCAGATGCACATGCTTAACCAGCAGTTAAACACTGACCTTGTTACTGGCAGCAGGTTGGCAGTCTTCCAGGCGTACTCCGAAAGCTTTTGGCCCCGCCTTCTTCACCTTCTTCATGAAGTTGATGCCCCACGGAGACTTGGGAGGACTGCTTTCCTCTGAGAGAGAGAGACGAGGGAGGAACACAATAAATAACTATGGAGGAGAAGAAGATGGAGATATTTCTACATGAAATTAGGAATTTTCCTGACCTTTGGCCTCGTGTTTGGGTGAGCGTGGGGGTGCGCTGCTGTTATCAGCCTTGGTGAGCAGGAAGGGCATGCGTGGCACTCGGGGAGAGGAGTCTGGCTTGTTGCCTGTTGGACTAAAGAGGCAACAGACAACAACAAAGCATAAGACCCCACAGGATGCAACTAATGTTTGCAGATAAAAGCTAAAGATACTTTAAATGAATATTTAATTGGCACATATTACACATTCTTCATGCATTTCACTTTGTCTTGAAATCCATTTTTGGATATATGTACATGACCTGTTCTGATTAATTGCCCTATGTTGTGGTTTATTCAAAACCAGTGTGGGCTGAAATGCATTGAATAAACTGGCCTGACATTCTGAAGAAAAAAGAAACTTCATCCACTTTTTCTGGGTATGTGGATCCTTTGGGAGGCTGCAATGATACGTCCTTCCCGATAGCCATGAACAGCACAACGTTTAGTTGCTTTCCCCTCACTTCCGCTTTAATGACTCTACTACAGACTGTCTGCAGTAACAACACTCTGCACCACTATCCCTCCAGTGTGAATGGGCAGGTTAACGGCTGGTCATAAGTCAATATGTTCATAGTTCTGAAATCACAACTATTATGTAGCTTAATTTCTGTATGTATGAATGGGATATTTTGGGACATTACCATCATTTACATAGTACATCTAACTCTGTTATTACAAAAATGTTCCCTATGATTACATAAAGAATGAGATAAGTAAATGGGACATATCTAAACTAACTCTACTATTCTTCAGTTTGTAGCAGGCCCTGCTGTGAGACAACAGTGTAATATTATCTAGACTCACCTCTGTTTCCTGTAGTCATTCAGTTTCTTACTGATGAGAGCTTGCCGAGAGAAGCCCAAGTCCTAAAAGAAACACAAACACGTGAGCATATAAATCTTTCACATTCTGTCCCATCTCTGCCTAATCAGATTTTTAAAACAGTGGTTTTGGTAGTAATCTTTCTCTCTCTCTCTCTCTTTCTCTCTCTCTCTCTCTTTCTCTCTCTCTCTCTCACCTCACTGTCGGTCTTGCTGCTCTCTCGGATCACTTTGATCCAGTCCAGCATGTCGTCCCGGTCCTCGGCCTGCAGCAGGTACTCACAGAAGTCCTGCGTGGTCAGCCGCAGTGCGTTCTTGCGTTTCGTCTCACTGTACGCGATGTCCACCAGGCAGCCCCGGATGCTGATCGGCTGCTCATCCTCAGACCCATCCCCCAGGGCGCCCCCCTTCAGCAGCGCCTCCCGTTTGTCTTTGTAGAGGTAGAGCGAATTACAGCGCAGCACCGAAAAGACCCGCCTCCAGGGACGCATGGCACTGCCCACCTTCTATGAGGTCAAAGTTCAAAACACAGGCAGGTGGACAGCCCGAGAATGATAGAAGAAGATGAAGAGAGGAAAGAAACAAGAGAGAAGTCACAAAAATGATGAGCCACTGTTCACAAGTTCTGAATCACTCACATTTAGTAAGTGTTATTCAATATTTTTCAACAATAACTTGTACAGCGGATACAGTGTAGATGTAAAAACTAGAAACCAGATATATAAACTTTATTCAATATTTCATTTAGTACTTTGCAAACATTAAAAATGGCTATTTACAGTAAATTTTGTCAAGTTATCTGCATTAAAATGTAATCACTACTTTTAAAATACAAGGCATTCTGGATGTTAATTTTATTATAGCTTAATTCTCAAGAAAAGTGGCTTTTTCAGCTTTTTGCTGAAAGTAATTTTTAAAAACCTGCATGATATGTTAAAGGATTTTACAATAATTCATACATTTTTTAAACAGTTTGGAATCAATATTTTCAATAGTTTCAACTAATTTGGCTAGACCTATGTTATTCCTATGCTGCTTTACATAGTTCAAATAATTAGCAGTAAGCTGTGAATAAAATCAAAGAAATGTTGGATGTCCCCAGAATGATGATACTATAATAACTGAGAAACGTGCAAAAGTTAGAATAAAGTTTATTTTCGTTAAAGAAATCTTGCTGCTCAGTCAGTGGGTCTCTCTCTCTCTGTCTCTCTCTGTTTCTGTCTATGTCTCTCTCTTACCTTGCCCTTCTCAGTGTGGATCTGTTTGTAGTGGAGCCAGCCCTCTCTCCTGACGTCACCGTAGCTGATGCTGCCCAGCTCCGATGTAGAGTGCCGTTTAGAGCGAGCATCCTCGGCGGCCTTCAGACTTTCTAGAGACTACACATACACACATACATAATATTATAACTTAAATACATGTAGATAATATTTGTATACCTTTGACTATTTGTACTGCACAAAATGTCAGCACATCTATTCAGATAGACGAACTCACCCCCTCACCAAAGAAGCTCTTAACCCTCTTTGGCAATCTCCTGCAAAAAGACAGGACAACAGAAGTGAGGATACATTTATAGAATCACACATCGTCACTGTCCATAAAAAACAACACAAAAAAACAAGTACTTCCAAAAAGGTAACTTTACAAGAGGAGGCAAAAACCTTCTTTACTTTTAATGTAAATTAATCTACAGGGATTTTATTCCAAGCATTTTGGAGCATTTCTATTGGTCCATTTATCATGAAATTTTCACACAGTGTAAAGGGGAGCTGCTGTGCTGATGCAAAAAATGACAAACAAAAATATGGAGAGATTTCTTTTTGTATTTTAGACAGTGATGGTGATATACAAATGTAAAAGTTGTTACAACAAATTTAATGCAAAGTAAAACATTATCTATTGGTAGAATATTTGCATCTGGTGGCTTTCTTTTTAAGGCACCAATCAGTTTTGTTTTTCATCATTAATTACATATTAGATTTTACCCAATTTCTCCTTAAACGTTGCCAGTTCCCCCCTTATGATTTATCACATGACGCTAATAAGCTGGAAGGGCAAGTTTAGCACAAGCTTCCTCCAAATCACATGAAGCGCCATCACATATTTTCTAATCGTCGCCGTCGGAACATCACTGGATGGTTCCATGTGCTTGGAGGAAAACTGGCAATTCTGATACAGCAGCTAACAGATGCCCATGTTGGCTAGCCCATGATGGCTTTCTGCTCTTTGGACTTGGCTATGGATGGCTGTGGCATCGCTGAGGATCAAACTGGTGACCTCCCAAAGATAGGACCCATACTTAGAGGGCTGCGCCTCTCAGGAGTCGAGTTGAGTAAGAAATAATTAATAATTCTGATTAATTATATGCAGTTTCGCTCTGAAAATGATTTTGATTGGTGCTTTAACCCAAGACCTCCCACACATCCTGACGACTCACGAGAAAACTCCATCATCCCTGAAGGTGTTGAGGCCCTCGTCACATGACTTGGAGCGTTCGGTGGTTATGGCCAACAGGTAGGAGGAGCGACGACTAGACTTAATGCTGCCTGCTCAAGGAGAGAGAGAGAGAGAGAGAGAGAGAGAGAGAGAGAGAGAGAGAGAGACACAATTAACTGCATTAGTTGTATGGAGATGGTTTAGGGTGCCGATGAGGAGAAAAGGGGCGGAGCAAACCAAGGAGCGTTAAGAGACAGGAGTTAGCTGGTTAAAGGAAAGGAAGAAGGAGACAGGAGGAGAGCGAGCAGGGTGACAGTGGATCCGTGGGGCTGGGGGTGGGATTTTGCTGTTTCAGAAGACCGGCAGAGCCATCGTTGAAGTCCAGAGATGGCCGTGGGGCACTGCAGAACGGCCATCATGTACACATGCAGGAGAGCATGCAGAGATGCTTTACGACGGAGCTGAGAGGGTCACGAATGCACAATCTAATGCATGCAAAAGTCTTCTGAAGGTTGGGATGGAGATCGTAAATGCAGATTCAATGTAGAGAGCGCATGCCTTACGTGGGTGAGTCCTGTTTGTTGCTAATCTGTGTAGAAACCCTACGTTCTACAGTATCAGTCAAATGTTTGGCCACACCTACTCGTGGAAGGGATCTTATTTTTACACATTTTAGGCATCAAAAATGTGAAATAACATATAGAGGGTGACTATGGAGTGAAAACAGCTGCTAACAGAGCTGAAAATTCACAACTTTTTATTTGTGTCACCAATTTGCATTTAGAATAAGGAATATAAGTCACAAACCAGATGTGTTTTAATGCTTCTCTGAATAAACAGGCCCTAATAAACAGCCTAATAATGAACTTAATCATTGTCTAATAGTTTGATAGTTATGTATAGTATAGTATATATACTATATATAGTATATATATATATATATATATATATATATATATATATATATATATATAATAGTTACATATGCATTAATAAATTTATGAACCATTTACTAGTGATATACAACTAATCATTTTATTCATCAATTATTTCAAATCATAGAATGATAATCATTAATTATAATTAATCATGAATAAATCATTAAATAATTTGTAAGTAATTATTTAGTTATTTCATTCTCAAATTCAAAAACTATACTTAAAATATTAAGCATTTACTTAGATGCACAAGAACAATTAATAATCATTATGACAAATACTTACTAGTAATTAGTGCATAAGTAAGTAGTTGCTATTTATAGGGGCCAATTATCTTATAGTGTTACTTAGAAGCCTTGAGCATCTTTTACTTAGTGATAGAAAACACAGTAACACAGATTCTACAGGCTGAGACGTTTCAGTCTGGATCATGTGGACATGTGTATGCCTTAACTTTTTTAGCGACGGTGTCTAGTCTAGTCTTCACTTTCCTGCCGAAGGTGAAGACTAGACATGGAGAAGCAGCGTTTAGCTCATATGCTGCTCTTAAATGGAACCAGTTAACAGAGAACATCAGAAAAGTCCCGACACTTTAAATCCAGGCTATTTGAGCAGCTTTCAGCTCAGATTAAACACCGTTAGTGTTTCTAGCCCCAAATCCTCTGTAACAGCACTTTTTTTTATCCTAATCTAAGAGCCAGAGGGCCAGAGGGCCGAGGTTTAAGAGTCATGGTTCGCTACTGGTGGCCAAACCATGAGCTTCAAACACAAGTTAAAAAAATATTTAATACTATGAAAGTGGAGTGGCAAACTTTTTGACTGGTACTATTTCCTTCTGTCTCAAAAAATGACTGTGTATTTCAGTGACCTGTGTGTTTGTGTTTCTCTGCATTGCGTCTCTTTCTACTGGACTCACTGCAGTCGTGGGAGAAGAGTCGGCTGAGAGGGAAGGTGAAGGTGGGGGACGCCGGGCTGGTGGCCACAGCGGGGGCTGATTTAAGCCCACTGGACACGACGGAGGAGGCGGGGACGTGACACGCCCGCAAATCTGCACCCGGACTGGTTGGCTCATCTGTGGGAGCAGCAAGAGGAGAGAAGGGAGAAAAAGAGGGGAGGAGAAAAAGTGGGGAGGAGAAAGGAGGAAAGGAGAAGAGAGAAAAGGAAACAGAATGGAGGAAAAGGAGGAAAAGGGTAGAGGAATAAAGTTAACAGGAGAGGCAGGGAGGAGTAGAGAAACAAGGACAGAGCGAAGGTTACAGGAAAAGCCAAAGGGTGTTGGAGAGTTACTCTAAATGGATTTAGATACACATATTTTTCTCTTTGTCTTTCACACAGAGACACTGTAGAGATGAATACAGCATTTGGTAAACAGCATTTTTCATAACAGCACACAAACACAATAAAAAACGGAAGGTAAGAAAGGAAGAAAAAACATGAAATGCCCTCAAATGTTTTAAAATCAACTGATCTTTCAAAATCTCTGCATATTTAAGCGTTTAGAATGTAAACAAAGTCATTCAGAGTGGATGTGAAATGCTCCGTTCTAGAGAAACTTACAGAGTCAGAATTGTTTACAGTGGTGGTGATGAGAACCGAACATCTGAAGAGTTTAATGCCTCTAAAACAGAGCTGCCCAAAATAGGGATTCTTTCTTTCGTTTTTTCTTTCTTTCAGTTTTTCATTCATTCATTCATTCTTTCTTTTTTTCTATTTCTGTCCCTTCTCTTAATTTCCTTTTACAACACATCTTTTCTTTCTTTCTTTCTTTCTGTTCTCTTATTCTTTCTTTCTTTCTTTTGTCTCTTATCCTCTACCCAACACTTTCTTTCTTGCATTCCAGCATAAAAACCTTGTCCCATCTGTGAAACACGGTGGTGGTAGTGTCATGGTTTGGGCCTGTATTACTGCATCTGGGCCAGGACCGCTTGCCATCATTGACTGAACAATGAACTCTGAATACCTGCAAATTCTAAAGTAAAATGGCAGGATGTCTGTCTATGAGCTGAAACTCAAGAGAACATGGATCTTGCAGCAACACAACGACCCTAAGCACACAAGTCATCCGACCAAAGAATGGTTAAATAAGAATAAAGTTAATATTTTGGAATGGTCAAGTCAAAGTCCTGACCTTAATCCTATAGAAATTTTGTGGAAGGAAGCAGTTCATGGAAGGAAACCCTCCAACATAATGGACATATAGCTGTTTTGTACAGAGGAATGGGCTAAAATTCCACCAAGCTGATGTGCAGGACTAATTAACAGTTACCGTTAGTAACTGTTACGTTTAGTTGCAGTTATTGCAGCACAGGGGGGTCACGCCAGATACTGAAAGCAAAGGTTCACATACTTTTGCCTCTCATAGATATGTAATATAAGATCATTTTCCGCAATAAATAAATGATCAAGCCTAATTTTTGTCTCATTTATTTAATTTGGTTCTCTTTATCTACTTTTAGGACTTGTGTGAAAATCTGAGGATTTTTTAGGTCACATTTATGCAGAAATACAGAAAATTCAGTTTTCAGGGTTCAGGGAAAATTCAGGGTTAACAAACTTTCAAGCAACTTTCAACTTGGACCACCACACACATTGCCATTTGGTCCCCCAAGACAAAAGGTTTGGGTGCCCCTGCTCTACATCACAAAAAGCTTCTACATGAAATGGTTCTGAATATGCTGCCTGATGCCTGAGACACTATTTTAGTTCTGAAAGAAGGGTTTGGCCTTGAAACACTAATTTACCATCACCAACATTACATACAGAAACTCAGAGGACACGTGTAGCTTCAAGAGTCTATAAAATGGCTATACTTGTGTTATAGACGTCACAACTCCTGGTTCCTATCACCACCACTGTAAAGAAATCTGAGGAATATTTCTCAACAACGCACCATTTTACATTAGACCACTCTGAATGAGTCTGTTCACATCGCAATGTCTGAATTATGTTGCAAAAAAAGTTTCCCTTAAAAAAGCAAATAATTGGTGAAGAAAGATTAAGCAAAACAGCTTACACTCATACCTGAGTCTTCGACCTCCATGAGAAACGTACTGGATGTGGAAGTGAGATGTGTGAGCTCTCTTTGTATTAACTGAAGGTTTCAGTTCTTTTCTGAAGGCATCAGTGTATGTGTGTGTGACTCTGTTGTTGCAGAAACGTAACTGCTTTCAGTTTTAACACCAGTGACTTGCTTCACATTTAATTCCATTATTTCACATTTAAATCAATATATAAAAACCCTGCCTTGACAGCATTTCATAGACATAAAACACCTGACAAAAAACAACATGTCTCATCTTAAATTCACCCCCCACAACCCAAACTCAACACAAACGCCTCTTTATACTGGAGTGACAATGCCCTCTTACACCTTCACTGATTGCTTCTGCTTTCAGTTCCTCCAGGACCTCTAATCAGGAAAAATCAGCTCTGTCAGAGGACAAGCTTGTGCTTACTCTTCATCAGCACAACATCCTTCTCTCATTCTCCCAGTAAAGCAGCCGGTTCAGAGAAGACAGTCAGGTTAATACTTGAGACGTCTCAGCAACAACAGCAGTACTGTTCCACACCAGCAGGTGGCAGAAGAACACTGCCATTACTACATACAATCAGAGAAGTGTTCCTCGAACACAGGGTGTTTTCTCACTAATTGTGGTCTCTCTCTCTCTTTTCCTTTCTGTTTTAAACTGTTCCCGTAACGGCCCAAACTATCCCCTTGTGAGGCACTTTGGGCTGCAGTATATGTATGAAAGGTGCTACACAAATAAAGCCTATTCTTCTTCTTCATCTAGTCATTTAACAGACTGTCTAATCAATCCAGACTAACAAAATGTGCCATCAGTGGAAGCCAAAGCGAAACAAAGCACCTGGAGATACTGCAAGAATCTCTATTCCAAGAGACACGAGTCGCACCATAACTTTATCAGGATAAATGCATAGACAGTACGTACAAAGAGGAGAATGAATGAAGCTCAGCTCGCTTTTTAAAGTAGGTGAACAAGCAACTCTGAGGTTAAGTGTAGACGACTGAAGAGAAACAACACAGTGATTCAGCAGTGAAGTGGAATGAGTGCTGAGAGTTAACTCAGGTGGGCTCTTTATCTTCTTCCTATTGCCGGTTTATTCTGTCAGGCCACCCAGTGTTTTACAACATCCTCAGTGCTTGTGTTCCTTTCATATACCTTCTTTTCCCCTCGTTTCTCTGTCATCTCTGCCCACTCCATCTCTCTCATTCTCTCTCTCGATTTCTGATCCCCCTTCATCTGTTTTGCTTTATTTCCCTTATTTTCATCTTCAGCAGGTGCACATCTTCACATGGCCCCTCTGAGCAGAATCACCGCTATCATTTCTTTCTTTGCTTTATTTCTTCCTCAGTTTCTTTCTTTTTTTATTCTCAGTGTTCTTTCTTTCTTTCTTTCTTTCTTTCTTTTTTTCCTTTCTTTCTGTGTTCTGATCCCTTTGGTTCTCAAATAACTCAAAATGATTTCTGATGATTTTATCCTATGTGAGAACAGGAACAACAAGATATAATCTTTCTGTCCCTTCTCTTATTCCCCCAACCCACACTCTCTTTCTTTCTGTACTTTCTTTTTCTCCTTTCCAGCACTTCCTTTCTTTCTGCCCTCCTTCCCATTCTTATTCTTATTTCTCAGCACTGCTTGTTTTTGTTTGTTTGCTTCTTTCTGTCCCTTCTGTTTTTCCTTTCACAACACCTTTCTTTCTTTCTTTCTTTCTTTCTTTCTTTCTTTCTTTCTTTCTGTCTTTCTGTCTTTCTTTCTTTGCCCCTGTCGCGCTCTCTCTCTCTTTCATCACAACACTCTGTTAACTCTCTGCAGATGCACAATCCTTTCATACTCGCTTCTGGAGGTGGACAAGGAGCCAGAGCACAGTGTAATCATTCCCAAACTCTCTCTCTCTCTGCCCCTTTTTTATTTTTTTTCCTCTGTCTCTGCCTCTTCTCTTCCTTCTCTCTCTCTTCTAATAAATCTCTCTATCTCTTCTCTTCCTATGTCTGTGTTTCTCTGTCTGTCTCTCTCATCTCTTCTTCTTTTCTCCCTTTTCTTCTCTCTCTTTCTCGCTGTCTCTCTCTCTCTTTCGTGGAGCAGGGGTGGAAACATTCCCAATCTGGGATGTAGAATCTGGGCCTGTTTTCCAGCCACTGGCAGAAATAGCTGCACTGTGGGTTTAACAAAGGCGCTTATTACTGCAGCCAGAGCTTTCTCTCTCTTTCTCTCTCTCACACTCTCTCTCTCTCTCTCTCACACACACACACACACACACACACACACACAAGCAGAGAGATATGGAAAGGCTGCATCATTAACCTACAGACCATATGCTTTACAACTTTATCTTCACATTTCTCATCATACTTTTTAAAACTCATTAACAGAGAGACACTGAAACAAGGAGACACTGGACATGAAGGAAAACTGTCTCCAGCAGAGACATAAAAACACCACAGTGTCTCACAACAAAGTAAGACAAGCTGGAAGTGGATAGGAAGGAGAGCAGGGTTGATGGAAAGTGAAGAGAGGGACAAGGGGACAGGGAGTGCACGAGAACAAAGACACATCAGAAGTTTGTGAGGGACACGGTTTACGGGTCCTCCTGTATCTGACTATGGTGGAATTTGTATGCATGTGTGTGTGAAGTGTGAGTATGAAGACCCCCTCCTCTTTCTAGGCATGACACAATGGCACTATTGAGGGCAGAAAGAGCTGAGTGTGTTGATTGTGTCCGGTTATGTGTGTGTGTGTCACCCCTCACCCCAAAAACCCCAGTGCCCCACCCCCTCTTCCACTTTCTGCTCCCTTTTCCCTCATACCCTATTCCTCCATGCCACATTAACAGAGCCGACTAGTACAGTACCTTATCACCAAATCATACATGAAAATACATCAATTTATTAAACACTTCCTGCAGGCCCCCTAATGGCCAGAATGGAAATCAAATAGGATATTTTTATCAATTTGATCAAATGAAATATTTTGTCCCTATAACTCCATAAATCAGATTAACTCGTTAAAAGATTAACTGATTAACTGTGAAAAGGAGTTAACTATTAATTAG